TTATTTTTAAAAAAATCAAAACCAAGTCCAATATATGTTCTCAGTGGTAGACAGATCATAAGATAGGGTTCAATTACGATTGAAATGACAGTTGTACATTTTGTAATGTACATCTCTAATGTAAGGTGAAGGATATTATCTTCTGCCTAATAACTACATTTTTTTATACTTCTGTTACTTAGAAGTTCGTCTATGTCAAATTTAAAAACAGCAAAGTCTAATAGTGGTAAAAGAGCCGCACATTCGCAATATAGGACAATTGTCCCAGACCAAAATGAAATCAATAAAATTAAGTATTCTAAACTTGTTGCTTTATAATAGTTTACTGGGGGAAAAAACTTACAAATAATTTTGTCAAATATAATTGACAACAAGAATCCTTTAAAACATCAACAAAATTTTAAAAAAAATTTCGAAATTTAAGCAAAACTAAACCTAACTCCTTCCCTTTGTTCGATATGTTAATATGTAGTATAGTTTATAACGCTTGTAATAAAGAATTGCCGATTAAGGTGAGTTGTAGGATTTGTTATGCTTGCTCATCTTAATAATTAATCTTATAAGCCGATATATTCAACTTTAATTAGTCATTGAGTGAGACGCTAAAAGGTGAGTTTTTGAATTTCATTTTTGCTCATTCACCATGGGCGGATTAGGCGGATAGTCACAAACCGGAACGGGATAGGAGAAGTGAGTTAGGTGAGTTTTTTTTTTTCTAAATTTAAAATATAAATTAAATGTTTTAAGTACTTTATTTAATACTGAATACATATATAATTTTCATAATTTAGTAATGAACTGGATAGTCGGTAAGATTTAATCTTTATACTTTCTGCGACATGTTGCGATGGCTGCTTAATTTCCTAACAAAATTTTCCGCAAACAGAACGATTTTTTTTAAAATACATCACGTTGCAACTGTGATGTGAACAGCAAAAATAGCTGATTAGACATTATTCTACTTAGTATTGATGTTGATATTTTTTTTAAATTGTTAAAAGTGTTCATTTACCTATGGATGTTAGAAAAAGAGAAAGACTGTAAGAAAATCACTGACATTAAAGAAACTGTAAAAATGATGAAATTCTATTGTTTCTTATTACGAACAATGCAAAAGAAAGAATTTAAAGAAGAAAACCCTTCAGTGAAAATTACAAAGAAGTGCGTCTATTATACTCTAATCCTTTTAAAGAACATACAGAAGATTAACTGCAACTGAATGTAATTTTACATCATCAATGTCTCAGAAGGTAACATTTACCTTTCCTCGTCATAAGCAAATTTCCAAAGATTTTTGAACAATTATGCTTTCTTAGTTTTCCTGGTGTTCTGTCAACGGTAACTATCAAGATTTTGTATCGTGTTGAGTCGATTTTTTTCCCCTTTGACGTATAAAAAAAAACGTAATCTAATTAAGTGTCCGTAATATGTTAAGGTGATGTAGAGAGCGTATCATCCTTTTCCGTTAAATTAATATGCATTGAGAGATAAATAATGCAGGGAACATTATCATTCCAAGGACTTAAATTTTCAAAATATTTTATCGCTGTAAAATTAGATTTTTTACAAGTAGCAACAGGTTTTTTGACCAAATAATTCAAACTATTTTCATACGATTTAATCTAATAAAACTGTCTGTTCTCATCAAAATTATCAATGTTTTCATTAAATAATACATGAAATGAATAAAAAAAAATTCTAAACTGTTTTACAGAAAAATCTCATTTATTACTAAAAATAGTCATTAGACATTATTTACAATTGTCTTGTAAGCAATTATTGTTTCTTTTTTGTGGTAATTTTAACCCGATTTATTGAAATATAATGAATTTCTAATTAATATTTTCACTGAGTTAAGAAAGGATATGATAGAAACGTTCAAATGTATTTGTATGACACAAATGCTTAAATCATTTATGCCTAGAGTCTGTAGCTAGGTTTTTTTTTTTTTAAACAAAGAAAAAAGTGATAGCACAAGTGTTTCATTATTAGAATTCATTTCCAGAAGCAAATTTCCAGAACAAAATATTAATATTATGAATACTATATGAAGTCTAGTACTAGTTTTTGTGGCTGAGTTTCAATGAGTTAAAAGAAAAAAAAAATATCGAGTTTAAAAATGTATTTTTTTCATATTCCATTTTTTTTGGGGGGGAGGGGAAGCTGCTTAGATGGAGGAACAGTTCATGATTATATTTAAACTTTAAATTAAACAAAGTAATAATTTCACAGAGTAACCATAATGTTCATAAATTCATTACACAAAACTGGGTCGTTAATTATTTATTCGAATTACAATTAGCTATCCGGATTATAGTAGATTAGAAATAATCCAACAGAATGTTTTATATAAGTTACATTTGCGATTAGCGTAACTTATGTTTACATCAAATACCTATTTTTTTATGATTGCTTTTCAACCGATTTTTATGAATAGGATTCTAATAGAGTAAAAAAGCAGTTCATAGATCATATTTTTTTAAATAAATAATTTAAAAAAATGATAAAAAGTGCAATTTAATATTGAAAAAAATATTTACTTCGACTTTTATCTTTAATGCTGAATTATGAAGTATCTAATTTAATTTAAATGTTTGACAGCTCTTATGTCAGATATTTAATTATAAACTGTCTGAAATTATGGAAAAATAAAAGCGATTTCTTAAAAATTTTGTTTATAGAATTTTATTCCAGCGAGAGAATCTTTGCATAACAACACGTGCAGTTAACAATTTACGCTTATGCACATCTTACATTCTATATAATTAAAAATAGGTAATGAAAATATTCCATTAAATACTGAAATTACTTTATTCGCGGTTCAACATAAAGAAAGGGAAGAACATTCGTGTTACTCAGATATGACTTATGAATAAAAAGAATGGGTGCATTAACTCTTTTTTTTTTTCTTTTTAAATTACTATTTCCAGTTTGAGAATTTCACCGAATCTAACTTGAATTGTTGATACAGGAATTATTAACTGACTTCGTGATACATTCGACCTTGGATTTAAGAGGCACTTTCCTTGAAGAGCCGTTGATGCACAAATATATAATTCTCTAAGAGCAAAGATAAAATAATGTGTGAGCCAGTTTTTGATATTCAAAATTTCATTCCTCATATTCACAAAATTTTTTGAGATTCTTTTTGCAATGACTATATGGTGGAAGAAGTAATATCTAGTTTGTATTAATCCATTAACTCGTACTTCAAAAAATTGTAGTTGGCTAATGTTTTAATTAAGCGGCTGTTTCTAAATTTTTTAATTTGTGTTTTCTCGATATTTTTTGTACTTAATGAACTATTGATGATATAGTAATATTGGACAGCACAATACGTATAAAAAACGGAAAATAAAGCGTTCACTTTAGTAGATTAGGGGAAATAGCGCTTGACAATTTTTAGAACTTCTATGGAATTTTCTCATAACTTTAATGCAATAAAAGAATGTGATTCATGGTTTTGAGTGAATAATTTAAAACTAGACACTTCTCAGCTTTTAGATTTTTTAAAATCTAATCTTATTACAGTTTAAGCTGATGAAAACCAATGTAGGAGACGCGGAAAAATTTCTTTAACGTTAATTGTATAAAAAGCAAGATAATTACCAAATATCTAAGGGCAAATTGCTGTATACTACCTATCTAAGACTGTTGATTGCAGAATTGAATTGGCATAATTTTTTCAGAAAATAATTTATAAGGACCATGTGCTTAATACCTCAAATTGTAATTGGGTGGCAGCCTTGAAATTTGCATGTATTGAAAGATACTGCCACATACACCATCAGTTTATTTATGAAAATTAAACGAAGAGGATTGAAATCATATTTAGGATTTTCCCACTCCGTTTTCATCCGTTGAAGGCCTTATCTTACTAATATATCACGGAGAGCGTTATTCAGAATAAAAACTAAGAATTAAATAATTATACAAAGTAGTGTGACAGTAACAAAATAAAAGTTATTACGAAAAAAAAACAAAAACAATTTGACATTTTTCTAACTGAACTAAGTTTCAAACTATATTATTAATAAACCATCGTATTTTTGAATTTCTTTCGTTTCTATTTAAATAAATACAGCATTTTTAAGAGTCAATGGCTTTTATTCCCTCAAATGATTAGTCATTCGTAAATAGTATCCAAGGTAACCCAAGGTCCACTTTGGTAATAGCAATAGCCATAGTTCCCCAGAGAAATGGAGCAACAACTAATAGTTAATATGTTGAATCAAGAACTAATCATCTAGAAAGACAATTCGGTTGAAAAAAAGACTGTGTCTTTATACGTTAACTGGCATCGTAAAACCGGTAAAATATGTATTCGATTACAGTTTCTCTTATTATTTCTGAGAATTTTTGCTCATACTGATTTTTAATTCTATCTGTGTTATAATTAATTGTCGTGAAAGTAAAGAAGAAAAGCATGTCAGGTAATAATCATGAGATTACGGAGAAAATAATCTATCGAATAACTATAACAAACAAAGAAGTATAAATGGGATAATAGAGGAAAGCAAAGCTAATTTTCATGGTGTAGAAGATTGCTTTCCTTAGTTCAAGTGTAAATTAGAAAAAAAATCATAATTTTATTTCATAGAAAAAAAAAAGCATAAATAGTTAGAAAAAAAGTTTCCTGTAATGCGGTCTGTTGTGCTTTATAGTTCACTTTTCAATCAACTAATTTACGAAATATATCCTAACAATTTCAAATTTTTAACCTCATTAAAAATGTAATTAATTTCAGCTGTAAATTACATTTTTTTCAGTTATTATTGCAACAGCATTCAGTTATTATTAAACCAAAATAAATAACTCAGTTGAAAATCTATTGTATACATTTTACACTAAGCAATTATTGTTATTTGTTTTACATATTTTTTATAATTTCCGTCAACTTATTTTTAAAAATCGAGTTTATTTTTTTAATGTCAAAATTATTTTTTAACTTTATTTTATTTTTAAAATTCCTCTAGTGAAATATTTTGAACATATTTCAGGTAATAAAGGGAATATTCAAGGGCACTTTGAAGACAGTTGTAAGTATTTATAAACTTAAAATACAAAATGCAATTCATTTTATTTTTTTTTTAACAAAACATTTGTAAATTTATGTAACTTTTATGTAAACCAGAAGCATATATTAAAAATTAAAAAAAATTAAAAGAAATTGTTTATTTATTTATAAAAGCAAGTTTAATTTATCCGAAATACGTCTGGCTATTAATTATGCTTAAGATTTTGTTAACTTCCAATTTCCTAACCACAAATAACATCTAAAAAAATCCAAAAAATTCCATCGCTTCAGAACATTTTTAAATTGCTTAATTTAAGGAAAATATTAAAAAACTATTTTATATAAATTTAAAAGAAATATTATTTTAATAAATTTGGAAATAAATTTATATGATAGCGATTTTTAAATTATAATTTATTAAAGTTTCATTTCGTGAAAATTTAAAAGCAAATTTTATTTTAATGAAAATGTAAAAGAAAAATTACTTTTAATAAGACTTTATTTATCTCGTTGTTAACATTATTAATCTGATATGTAAAAATTATTGATATGAATTGAACTACATTGAATCATCAACGAAGATCCAAAACCTTTTCAATTTAGAGTATTTTTTACATTTCTAAATAGGAGAATTTGAAATAAAAGTTGAATTAAACTTTATTTTAATAAAAGTTTAGATGAAGTTTAATTCTTCTAAAACTTTATTTCAAACTTATTTTACTCTTACCGAAAATAATTACGATGTAAATTTATAAAAAGAAAACACCACACGTATTGCATTTAATTTGGAATTGATTTTAATTATAAAAAGATTTTTAAAAAAAAACTTATTTTAGTTTCAAGCAAATATAATTTGTATATACTGAAGAGAAAATATCTCCCAATTTTGCTTCTCTGGACAGTTGGTCCGAATGTAATCGTAAATTTATTCTTATCACACACACCACAGACCACTAAATTTGATATTCAAGTCTTAGCTTTGGTAAAAAACACAAAATGGTTAAAATCAAATATAAAGCACATTCAGAAAATGTTTACATAGAAAAAAAAATAAAAAACAAAAATTAAAATTTCAGACAATTTTGTATGTTTTAATTTACAAAGTAAGCTAATAATACCTAGCATTCTATATTATTGTTTTAAAACTGATAGAAAACAAAGAAACAATCGAAAGAGTATGATTGGTAAATGCGCATTAATTAAGGTTTTTTTAATTCATCATAACATTAATGATTGTAAGACGAATCATTAATATTACTATGAATTATAAATAGCTTTGAAATTGACAGAATAATTATTGCAAGTGATTTAAATGACAATAAAATGAAATTGTAGATTTTTATTAATTGTTAATTTCAATTGTTATTTTCTCGCAAATTAAGCATTATTTTGGCGTTATAAAAACTGTATCAGCGTAAGTGTAAAAAATATGTTTTATGATAATACATAATTACTAAACTATAAATATTAAAACCCACCTGGAGAGAAGATAATACTTTAAGTGCAAATTGTGATAATAAGGAAAAAAACGCAATATTATTACATCAGCATTGTTATTACAAAAAGTTTCTTTCAGTATTATTAGAAATGTTAACTTAAATAGTATTTTTGTTTAATTGCGATTTGTTTGTGTTTGCGTTTCCTAGGTTTAGATTCGAAAGCTTAAATCATAAATTATAAACATTTAAATTTACTAATAGCTTGAAAAATAGAAGAATTATTATCATTATTATTTAATTTTAAGTTGCAAAAAATTTCTTAAAAAAATTGCTGTTCACCAAACAAACTATTGCATTTTAAAGGAAGCAATAATAATTCAAATGCATTAACTTTACGTAGATTTAAAGTTTTAAGATGTTAGCGAGTTTTATTTAAGGTTTTCATTTAATAATATTATTTTTCTTCCTGTATTATTTATCTAAAAATAAATTGTATAATTGATACTGTTTTTAACTATACCTTTAAATATATATATATATATATATAGGTATATAACTAATAAACATCTGATTATTGATGTGATTGCGCATAACGAATTCGCATTATCATAATTTGGTATGAACTATACCGAAAATAATTATTTTGAGAGAATCACTTTATTTGTGACGTGAAATTTTATCTAAGAAAATAATAAAATTCCTTTACATTTTACATGAAAAGCTTAGAGCTTACAATTTTACTTTTTCTTAGTATAAAACTTCCGAACCTAAGTTTATCTGCTTAAGATATTTAGTTTTGATCATATATGAGTAAATGTGTGATAGGACCAAAAATCATTTATGAAATGGCAATTGTAAATACTCAATACTGCGCTCATTTAATAACTTACAGATATGATAAATACAAATAAGTTGAATGTTTATAAAACAGTTGGATTTAAAAGAAATAATCATTTGAATAATTTAATATCTATCCATGACTCTTGTGCAAAATAATTTCATAAAACAATGAGTAAATTGCACTTGTAATAACTGTAGATAAGATTTAATAAACACGGAATTATTTCTTGTTTATGTTCATATTAAGCATTTTTCATCGAAATTGTTATCAGTCGATATTTTTGAATAATTATTAATTTTGTATCATTTTTGAATAATTAAGTAGGTTATCTTGATAACTGAGACATAAGCATTTTTTCAACGTTACAGTTTAAGCAATTATTATTTATTTTTTAAAAATAAGGGACATTGTTTTCTATGCAAATCGTTAGCAGAAATATTTTATATTGAAGTTTCCATCTTAACTTTAAAAAGATGCACTACGAATTTTTTTTTATCCAAATATAAATTAGTAATTAACTAATTTTAGTTAATAAGTGATTAGTATAAACTTATTACGAAGCATTAAGTATGATAATGCGTGTCGAAATAGATAAGTATTTCTAACTATATGAGTTAATAAGTAATTAAAATGATCATTGGATGTTGTAGTAGATTAGTATTTCTGTCCACATAAGTTAATGGATAATTAAAATGATCATTAGGTATTGTAGTAGATAAGTATTTCTGGCCACATAAGTTAATAAGTAATTAAAATGATATTTCGGTGTTGTAGTAGATAAGTATTTCTGACCACATAAGTTAATAAATAATTGAAATGATGATTGAGTGTTGCAATGGATAAGTATTTCTGACCACACACGTTAATAATTAATTAAAATGATCATTGGATCCTGCATTTTTGACCAAATTGATCTGTCATTTCGTATCGTTATTCCCATTTTGCAGGGGAAAACCGTTGAATTGCCTGCGATTAAAACATTTGAGATATGATAGCTGATAAGACATGAAGCACTCTAGAACGAAAGATGATATAAATAATATTTAAGTTCGCTAAACTTAGAACAAGTATGCGGGACAAGTTATTAAATCTATTATTTGACAATACTTCATTCTGGATTGGTTCAAAATTACAAGACTACGGAGTTAGTAGTCGCAAACCACGGCATTGGGTCGGCTGTTTAACTACGGATATATAAAATAAAATAAAATAAGTCGCACGTTTTTTTAATTTTTTCAATGTACGCAATTTGAGGTTGTTTTTAGTTGTTAAGTTAAATTTATGCTGGCATTTATAAGATTTTTATTTGTTTTTAAACCCTTAAATTATTTAATTATATGTAGTGATTTAAGTTGTGCCTAAAAACTTTTACCATAGGTTTAAAATCTTTTTTATGGAAAACTTTTGTACTTTTTAGTTCGTAAAAAGTTTTTTGTAATCTGTAATCAGACATTTTAGGTAATAAGAATCAATATTATTGTTTTATTTAGCATCAAATAGAATATAAACTTACATAAAACAATCTGAATATTATTCAAATATGATTATTTAATCTTGATATATCATATTTCTGTAATCATTGTGAAATTTTACCTAATTTAATGGACTTAAACACTTCAGTTTACTTTTCAAATAGCTCGAATAATACTTAGAAATTATTTTTAGACGTTTCAACTTACTTCATAAATACTTAAAAGTAATGAAAACAACACATTTATTACATTATTGGTACACTATTGCTAAAATTCATAGTGATAAAAAGGATATAAACTGATATAAATATTATCAGAACCTTATATGCAGTTTCATATTTAGTATTAATAATTTGTTTAATCTTCTTATTTCATATTTTGCATAATTGCTGTATCATTCAATAAAGTGCAATTGCCTTAGTTTTTTATTTATTTTTATTTTATTAATTTCTTTTTCTTTCTTTCTTTTTTTCTTTCCATCTTTAAAAATATAGTTAGATGAAAGTTATGCGTTCTTTAAAAATATTCTTCGGTAAATGCTTCTCCTTAAAAGTAATAAAAAACTTGTTTGAAGTTTCACTTTTAAACTTTTATTGTTAAAACCGATAATAATAAATAAAATATTAACTACAATAAAAATAACCGGAAGTTTATATGCGATATTAAAAAAACTATTATTTTCCCCGAATTAAAATTTTCGCAATTGCTGTGGAATTCCATATATTGTTATTATTACACTGCCTTAAAAATATTCTTAAAAGATTCCTATCAGATAACAATCTTACGAAACTTATCTGACACATCACTTTCACACTATAATTGTTAGAACTCATGATTTTGCTTAAATAATCACTTTACAGCGTATTTTTCTTTAAAAGCTTTTACAACTAATGAAAAATAAATAATGTACTACGAGAAATAATATCTTTTCAAATATTCCCATCAATTAGTCACGATTGTATATAATTACTACGTCAATTGATTTCACATTCTTGTCTTACACATATGTATACTCAATCGAGTTTTTCGCTGAAGTAACATTTATTTTAAGGCCTTAAGGTAACTTTTACCAACTGATTAACAATCAGCGTAGTTTTCTTTCATTATAACAAAACAAATTATAACTTTTCACCCTTTTATCAACAAAACACAAGACTTGTAGGCATAGGTTTTTTTTCTCTTGAAAAGTCGTTTAAAGAGCATAGCTCGATCGTGTTTTCAATTAAAAGAATAAATGAGATCTAGTTATTCTTAGTCACGCTTTTTCTCA